CTCTTGAAGAGAGAGAATTAGGAAATGGCCCATTTTAGGTAGAACACAGTGGTTACTTGTTTTTGTTTACTTATTCTTCCCTCTCCAAATAAAATGAAGACTATATACGGCCAAGATTTCCTTTTACTCTAAGGCTGCCAGCAAAACCAAAACAAAACGCAGCAAAAATAAAACCGACATTCATGATCACACCAGTTCCATCTCAATGTGCAGCTGAATCTTTAACACTGATTCTTTAAGCCAGTCACGGCTGTGTTATTACATTAGCACTGTGGAATCAACAGGCTGAGCACATGTAGGCCTCTTCTGGCATTCAGGACTGCCGAGGTATACCAACGGCAACCTGGGAAGTTCCTTACAGCTCTGTTCCCTGACGTCCTTGGCGTGCCCTACCATTTGCTGCCATTTGCTTTCTTCCTTCCTTTTCCATTTCATGCCATTGTCTATGTAATCTGTGGGCTGTCAGTCAATTCCCAGAGGACCACTTAATTGTCAGAAAATGTACCTCTTCTATATGAAATATAGTTTTAATTTAGGGCAATAAATTCAATATATTTCAGAAATCATTTCAAAACATCAACCTGCATTTCAAGTCAACCTTCCACAATGAAGCTCCCAATCACAAACATGGATTTGTGGTAGCACAATGACACACGCGAAAATATTCCAAGTTGCTGTAACATTAGTCTCTGAAGTTGGCAAAGTTTCAAGGTTTCACACACATTGTTATCTCTACTTTTTGTGGCTTAACGCATACTAAACAGTTTTAAACATTTTTTCTGTACAGTTATTCACTATGGACTTCCAATCTTTTAAATTATGTTTATATTATTGGAGACATGAAACACTATGGAAAATATCATGGATGGTTTTTTAAGAGTAACACAACTACGGCAAACATGTTTTGAGGGGGCATTTATAATACCAAGGGCTTCAGTCTGAACTTATGTGATTATGTTACACGGTTCTTTGGTTATCTAATTTATAGGAACAGCACTTGAAAATCTAAGAGGGAGCAGCGCTTGAAAATCTAAGAAGAGGGAGCAGCAGATGGCATAATAGTTACATCCCTGAACTCCCATGTATTCGGCACAGTTCTAGTCCCGGATCTGGTGGCTTAAAACTCACGGCACGTGTACCCCAAATCCCAAGAGGTGAATGGAGGAGCAGGGACAGTAGCATGGTCATCACCCTTGGGAGGTGACTTCTCACTTTCTGTCTCCATCCCTCTGCCAAGTGCACGTACCCTATAGCAAAATTTTCTTAAAAAAAAAGAAAAAAGAAAATCTAAAAGGAATAAATAGGTAAGGTCCTCTTTTTATCCTTATTCAGGTGTAATCCAAATTTTGACATGCATGAGTGGCAAAAAAAAATTCTAACAGTATATAGCCACAATAAAATTTTTTCTTATAGGGCCTCAATGGTTTTTCCCTGACCGCTGAGTTCATTTCTTCTATGAGACAAGAGACAGAACCCCCAAAAATGACCTGACGCTGTGTTCCATCCCCATTATCAGCCAGCCATCCTGGACATACACATACTCAATGTACTCAAGAAAGTCTCCAGATGCAAACTGGGAACCTTCCCACATGGCTGGGCCTTGCAGAGCATCTTGTTTTATTGCTGAGCTACCATGTGATCCCAAGACTTCAATAATTTTTAAGGTAAATATGGCTTTTGTATCAAACTTAGATGGCTCAGAATCACTAAACTTTAATTTTCTGTTTTGCCTGGATAATATTTTTATTTTCTCCATTCTTCACTGCGCTGCAATTTTTTTTCTTTTATCTCTAACACATTTTATTCTACTTTGCTCTTTGTAAGCTACCAGAAGCCAAGAAACCAAATCACTAAGGTAGCATCTGTTTAAAATAAGTGAATAAACAGAATACTGCTTTAGTGGTTAGACTTTCTGACATCTATTCAGGTTGCAAAGCACAATTGCCTATCTTTTTATTTCACAGCTGAGGCTGTTGAAAATGGGATCTTTGGGAAAATTAGTGTTATGAATAAGGCTAAAAAATTCTTTTGTCATTACAGTGCAGACTTATTCCTATAGTCTAAAACCTGGTTAAGTCATCACATGCCATGCTAAGTTTAGACGTATACTGAAAAAAGGATTTAAAATAGGCTTTTCATTAACACAGGGTACAGGGCACCTATGAGTTTTGATCTACTAAATGAGCAAATATCAAATCCACTATAAAGCATTTCAACAACTCAGACCTAGGTTAAGTGAGTTTCCAAACTACAAAACAATGAAAATATTTAGGTTCTCATTTTAAACTTTAACTTAGATTTTGTAATATGTATACAAAAGCACAAAAAACTCAAGAACTTTGACAAATTTAAAGTTGTGCACAGTTGTAGCTTTTGAAGAGTTTATAAAAAACATTCCTGGGAGAGCAATCACTAATGCAAATTGCAATTGTAATTAAAGCATTAAAGCTATTCTTCTCTATCCCTTAAATAGAGCAAATGCACAAAAATTAATTAATGCTAATTTACAAGTCACAGTTTACCCATTAAATGCTATCAGAGCTAATAAAACCCTACCAGTTTAGTCTAACAGTTATTATAGTAAGACATATATGGAAAGTGAAAAGTATGAATTTGGAAAATATAATGGTTAACCATAATCTAATACTTTTTGAAGGCATTGTATAAGTGCCTCTAAGAATAAGAAAAGGACATAACTATTTTTGTATTATTAATAGCACAGTAAGTAACACAGTGCCTCATTAGAAATTAATTTAAATGGTCAACTAATAAAGTTTTAAATGGGTTCAAATGTGGGACCAGCAGTTGGCATAATGGCTTTGTCGCTGGACTCTCATGTAGTCGACTGTGGTTTGAGTCCCAGACCCGGTGGCTTAAACTCACGCTGGGTGCAGGAGTGTGTGTGCCCAAGATCCCGAGAGGAGAAGGGATTGTAGTGTGGTTATTCCCCCCTGGGGAGTGATTTCTCACTTTATCTCTCTCTCTGTCTTTCTGGCAAGTGTACATGCCCTATATCAAAAACTTCTCCAAAAAAATAAAAATAAAATAAAAAAAGGGTTCAAATGCTCGAAATGCCCATTTGAAAAAAACCTATGACACCAAAATATAAGCATAGTAAAAAAATTTTACTTCAAGAACTTCTAGTTTACTACTTCTTAATTTTAAAAATAGCATTTTGCTTCTACTAAATCTAAATTACTTAGGTTGTTAATCACTACCACTGGTCGGTTTATATATTTTGTTTAAAGTAATCACTGGTGGTGGAGATACTATGATGTTGTCTCTATTTACCCAGCCTCCCAAATAATGGATAGTTTAAAAAATGTTTAGAAGAAAAAATGTTATTTAGTATATGAGAAGGTAACAAAAGCATATTTACTTACCTTCAAATGCTTTAAATCTCTAGCATGAGTCTAAGGTTTTGATAAGAAACAAACAAAAATCCAAAGAAACCAGTATCACTTTCCCACAAACTCTTAATAGACCAACATTATTAGTTCTAGATCTAATTCAATCTCTGGTTTCTTCTTCCTAACAGATGAGTTCCTAAGGTTCATATCTGTAAATGTAAGTGAATTGAATTGACTTTGTTAATTTGGAAAGTTTACCTCGGCATTATTTGGGAAGAAATGTTTTAAATAATTTGTTAAGATCACAATAAAACGTTCATATTATTATGAGGAAAAATGACTTAAGTATCCTAGGTACACATATTCAATATAAAATCGATAATTTATAAATTACTTATTTACTGTTTTGGGGAAGTTATTGGTTTCCTTTAGTACTAAATTATATACACAGAGGCTGCACAGAGGAAAACATCCCTAGAAGGGTTAAAATACAGTCCACTTTATTTTGATGAAATCTATATACTGGTGTAAGACTGACTGATTATCCCAGGATGATAGCCAAGAAATAGCAATAAATGATAAACACAAGTATAATTTCCCACAAAGTGCATCCAATTGAGTATTATACAGGGACATAACTTTTTATTGATAATTAATCAAACCATGTCCCAAAATATAAAAGTCCATAGAACAGTTTAATTTGATTTATAAAGGTACTTTAGTTTCACATCTGTATAGGTTCAAATCTTATTTAGAAATATATCTGGGGGCTGGCAGGTGACGTGGTAGTCAAGGTGCTGTTCTTCCACAGGGCTGAGTTGCTTAAGTCCTGGACCTAAGTGGTTTGAATCCTGGACCTGGTGGCTTGCTTTCTCACCCTCTGCCTCCCCTCAGTCCCCAATGCCCATTGTCAAATAAAATAAAATTTAAAAAGAAAAGAAAAGAAGAAGAAGAAGAAGAAGAAAAAAAAGTCCTGCAACTGATTTCCCAATAGTCATTTAAGAATGTTCAGGTCATAGAAATAGTAAAAAGTATGCTGTCTGGTAATAAAATTAGCAATACAAGTTACTCCAGAATGCTATTTATTTACCTTGTACACTGTGTCTAAAGTAATATGTATTTTATTAATGTAAAGACTAAGAACTAAAAGGGACATAGCGACTAATTTGATAAGTCTGTTACTGGGAATACTCAGTCAATTCTAACAAAACTTTTAGTATCAGACCAAAATTCCCAACTTATCTTAAAATGTATAGCACAAGACATTAAAGAATATTTGCAGCCATTTCTGCATTACAATAGCTTTGCTTTAATTATTATACTTTTGGTGATTCTGGATAGACACAGAAAGAAGATGCTTTCACAAGTCAAACAGGAATTTAAAAATGTCTGACAAAGCCATGATTTTACACTAAAAATACAGGAATAAGGCATTTTTATTACCAAGCAATGCTGGTAGAATATACCAATATTTAAAGAATACAGGATTCCTCATAAAAATGGATTTAATGTCAAGTACTTAATTTTTATATCCTCTTGAAAAGACTTTTGTTCTCTAAGAGTCGTGATAGTTAAGAATAAAGATATCGAAGTTGTTTTCTGATCTAGTGACTCAGGAATATAGGCCATTCTAAACAAAACAAAGGTCAGTGTGAGTAAACTTTGAGCTAACTATTCTAAGAGTTAAAGAAATTAAATTAGGTGGCTCAGGTGAATTTGTTAAACACCAAGTATACAGATTTTCAAAAAAAATTTTTTTGGCCATATATTAGGAGAGAAAAGGACAAAAACCAGACTATTAAAACATAATGAATCTGATTTAAAATGTTATCTTTAAGGGAAATACAATCAGAAATGACAAATAGCTGCTATATCCCTGTCACACTAAAGCAGCACAATAATATTGGTGTTTAATATTTATTTCACTACGCCAATATTTACGTGCTGCTAGAGTGGAACAAGTATGTCAGTCTATCCAAACATCAAATGAACATCTGATGATGAAAATGTTTTTGAATGAATTTCCTTAAATTTCTAGAGCAGCAAATAATGATTCGCATCTTGACTGTAGTATGTAAACCATGATGTGCTGCTACAGTACTTTAAGGCCTCAAAAATACAGGATTCATCCAACAAGGGAAAGGTCCCCTCCTCCACCCCCTGCAATTTTAGTGGGAAAAAAGTAACAATAAGAGAATCTTTGAGGTCTTTACCAAACTTACCTGTAAGATTAAAAATCTGTTATGATCTAAGTCAATTCCATGGCTTCGAAGAAGATTTCCAACATCTTTAAATGTCTTTTTCTTCCCACTTATGTGATAGACAGAAGTATTATCTCTGTAGGCAGTTCTGGAAACGTAGAAGTTACTGTCAGGAATGACTTCATAATCATCCCCTTCCTGTTTTTAGGAGAAACAAAATAAAAAAACAGTTGTTGGTATAAGTCACAGGTCTGTTTTAAATTTCACTCACTTTATTCTGAAACTAGTGCTATGGATTAAAAATTTCAGCTCAACATGAGCAGAAAGTGGCAGTAGTTCACAGAAACAACCATGTTTATCAAAGACTACTTTTCCAACTTGTTTGGTCCCTTTCTGGAAGATCACAAAAGCCCAAAAGTCCAAAGAATCGAACAAAGACCCAACCCCCAAACAAGCTTAAAAACATATTCAACTGAGAAGAGCTAGCAACGGTGGACAAGAACCCCACCACATCCAAACCAAACCCACCCGAAGTATTAAGTCAGGTTAACAGATTAAACTATTAATCCATTTTAAAAGTTGCAGCATGAATTGATTCAAGGAAAAAGAGGAAAGGCAGTAACGGAATGACACGGTTTAGTTTTGGGGTGAGGAGATGAAGAGCATAAAGTGTGTGCCATTAATGAAATGTTAAAAAAATGAACCGCAAAGAATGGACAACTGCATTCTCCTGATTTGTTTGAGCACAAGTGCAAATCCATTATAATACTAAAATCCACTTTCCCTTTCCCTAAAAGCTATCATATGAAGGTATGGCTTTTTATGGCTTCAAAAAAAGAAAAGAATCTAATGTAGTCAATAAACAATGAAATAAAATCTGATGTACTGGCAATCTATTTGCTAACCCAAATTGTAAAAAGAAGGTACTATGAAGCAAAATTAAAATAGATGCTTCCATGAAATTAAAGCCCTTTACATTAAAAACAAAACAACAAAAAAACCCCCCACAAGCCAGGTCATCTCCCAATTTTATCATGTAATTGATAGTTTCCTATATTTACAGGTTTAATTCAGTCATTTTTGACCCATAAGGTTCCTAATTATTAAACAGAAGACGGGAAAAAACAATGCCAACAGAACCATGTAAATACTAAATAGACATTTTACCTATAATTATCTCTATTGCTAGAAAAAAGTTAGCTCGCTCTTTCCCCATTTCAAAAGGACTTAAATCACAGTAGTTCAACCTGAAGTAAAATTCTCTTGTATCAGATTCGAACGACACTTAGTAACATTAAATTCAATGAGCACCCAAATAAGGGAGATGATAAAATCAGGCAACTGTTAACATTTTCAAGTTTAGGTAATTTACTCTATAGAAATCCTAAAAATATAAGGTAAAATGAGCTCTCCCAGAAGAAAGCCTATTCAGGGCTCAGGATCTTAAAATTGCTCAATATTTTATTTGAAAAAAGGTAAGGATTACTATGAGCTATTTATAATTCCTCACTTGGAGTTTCTAAATCAATCAAAACAAAACAAAAAAAGAGGCAAAAAGACTGTCAGTGCAATTACTTTGGAGGAATAGTGCCTGCTAATCTTTACAAACTAGGACGGAGGAAAGTGACTTATGACACCTAGGAATCTATACCGTCCAGTTACATGCAGTAGTATCCTAAACTCAGAAGGATGAGAAGCTAATCTTCGGCTTGACTTTACTGATAAAAAAGGAATTTTTTGAAAAAAAAAAAAAAAATAAAAGGGTAAGAATTACTATGAGCTATTTATAATTCAATTTTCTGAATAAAATTCTAATACTTTAGGTTTAACAGCCACCAACACTCCCTACCCTCATATGGTCATGGAGGTAATGAAATCAATCTCTCTTCTGGCTTTAATTACACACGAATTTTCAAACGCAGATTTAAGCCCAAGATAATAAACTGCATGTACCGGTCCTTGCTTTTCTTACAATCCCTTACCTTATCAATTATCTTTTGAAAATGAACTTCTACAGTACAACTCTGAATATCCTTGTGTTCATCAGAATTATGTATCAGTACCGAGAGTTTTTTAGATCTTATTTTCTGTGCTCGATAGCCAAACACAAAAAGCATAGAATCAATAACATTGGATTTGCCACTGCCATTTGGACCAATAATACAGGAAAAGCGCTGCATAAAAACAAAACAAAATAGAAATTTAACATTTTAAAAGGTCATATTAAAACTACTCATTGATTGTAATTTAAAATGCTTCATTTTTAACTTGCAGTAAAAACTACAAATATTTGTTTTCATTGTTAAAAGATACACAACTTAAGTTTTCTTAATCAGGGTCTATCAGAAGCTTTGACATCTTAAATAGGACCATGTTTGAATGCTAACCCAGACTTTTGACAAAACTCGGTCCTAAAGGTGAAAGAGAAATACTTCCTTCCAAAACTCTAGTTTCATTCAATGAGGAAAATTTTATAGCTTAAAGAAGTAGTAAAGATAAAGGAAAGATCATCTCAGCTGTTGGAACCATAGGAGACACATTAGTGGGACTGACAGGAGAATGTTACAGGATAGCTACGAAATGGAAACGTCTTGCAACAAAGCTGTTCTAAATATACTACAATAGCTATGTAAAATGGACAAATCAATACCTTATGGAAAGGTCCCAGAATTTTTTCCCCAGCATAGGATTTGAAGTTCTGGTTTACAATATGAGTTATCATAAGCCGAGGAGCTCCAGCTTCATTGGTCATTGCTGGAGGCGGGGGAGGAGGAATGCTATTCAAAATCTCTTCTAAACTTCTATTGTCAAGTTCCTCACTTGGAGTTTCTAAATCAATCGAAAGAAAGAAAAGAGGCAAAAAGACTGTCAGTGCAATTATTTCGGGGGAATAGTGCCTGCTAATTTTTAAAAACTAGGACGGAGAAAAGTGATTTATGATGCCTAGTAATCTATACCGTCCTGTAACATACAGTATTATCCTAAACTCAAAGGGATGAGAATCTAATCTTTGGTTTGATTTTACCCAAAAAAGGAATTCTTGGGAAAAAAAAAAAAAAGTACCTCCAGTCACAGAATATTACAGAACTATACCTCTTAGGAATCAAAACACTGCACGATCAAGCAAACCTGGGAAAACCAGAACAAGCTGATTCTCTCTAACCCGGAGCAGGAGGTTAAATCCTAAGGGTCTGGACCAACTCTGTCCAGTCGAACACCTGGAACCTTTCGGAAACTCCTGAGCTTTAGCAGCACTGTCACGGGTTTCCTGTCACCCAATGCCTGGACTCACAAACCCACAATAGTTCCAAATAAACCATCACCTTTTCTTTAAAGGTAATCTAAACCCACGGAAATGAGGTTAGGACTAAACAACTTTAAACAACTTCTCATCACGTTCGTAACATGTTGATTCTTTTAAAAAGTTCACCAGCTCTTGGATAACCATGCCGATTTCAGAGCAAATAAAGATGTTCCTACCATTTCAAAAGGGCCACACATGCAAACGAAGCCGTTCGCTAGCCCAGGTCCCCTCCAGCTCCGCTACACTGAAACTGTCTCGAAGTTCCTCCTAACATCGCCAATGGCTTTTCTGAGCTGCTCCGCCGGACCAACACCGACCGGCTTTTCAACCGGACGGAGCCGAGTCCTCGCCGGCGCCCAATACCCCGGCCCGGGACTCGGAGTCGCCCCAGGGCGCGGTCCAGCTGATCACCGCGGGTCACTTACCTGCGGCCGGAGCTGCGTTCTCTGCGCCGTCGGACAGCGGCTCGGGCTCTGCATCGCTGCTGGCGCCGTTCGGCGACGGCCCTTCGTCTTTGGGTCGGGCGGTGGAGGCTTGTGTCCCTTTACGAGGCATGGTCGCTGGGGCCGGGGGAGAGGCGGTGCGAGTCAGTCTGCGCGGCGGGCCGGGCTCGGCCGGCACCCCGGCGCCAGCCCGCCCCCCTCGGGGGAACCTCGGTCCACCCGCTTCCGAGAGCTCGGTTTTAAAAACGGGCTCAGAGGCAGCGGATCCTTGGAAAAGGAGCCACAACCACCTCCATCCCCGCCGCGGCAAGGAGGCAGGGCTGGGTCTGAGACCTAGTGGGGAAAACAGACGTGCCCGGGAACTAACCCGGGATGAGCAACTGCCCAGGTCCTCCCGGCTTTTAAAGGCCCTCCCGCGCCGGCCCACAGCCTAAGTGGCGGAGAGTGTTCCCTAACGTCTTTGTAAACCACGAACTCTCACGCCGACCTTCAGTGACATGCCCGGCTCTTGGGGCTCCGAGTTCGCACAGCTTGGGTTTGGGTGGCTATCAACTCTGGAGTGACGCGCGACTGTCGCCCACTTTCCTCTCCCCGCCATTTAGTTCTTGGCGCCGTCGACGACACAGGGGATGCGAGGTCGGAGAGTGTTCCCTAACGTCTTTGTAAACCACGAACTCTCACGCCGACCTTCAGTGACATGCCCGGCTCTTGGGGCTCCGAGTTCGCACAGCTTGGGTTTGGGTGGCTATCAACTCTGGAGTGACGCGCGACTGTCGCCCACTTTCCTCTCCCCGCCATTTAGTTCTTGGCGCCGTCGACGACACAGGGGATGCGAGGTCCCCTGCTCCCCAGTGCGATCAGGAACGGCGGCCGAAGCCTGCGATCGGCCACTGCGAACCCTGCGATCCGCCACTGGCGACTTCCACACCAGACGCCCGCAGCGCCAGCTCCGGGATAGTCATCTCGGGGTGGCAGGGGCTTGTCCCTCCGGGGCGGAGACCCACTGGACAGTAACCCGTGAAAGGTCCCTAAGGCTCAGAGCCGGGGATTAGTCCCTGGGGGCAAAAGAGTGGGGGCGGGGGTAGACGCCCTTTCCCCAGCAGAGACCAGGCTTTTTGAGAAGAGATCCGCGAGGCCAGGCGCCTCCCCGAGGGACGCTTAAGTGGCCCAGACAAGTGGCGCCCGGGAGAGCGGCGCGAGAGCCCCGGCCGCCGGGGAGCGCCGAGGGGGGAGGGGTGACAGCGGGCGACATCTCCCCGCGGCAGCCTCAGCCCGGACTTCGCAGCTCCAGCCCAAGGCCTCTACTTTCCAGGCATCCGCGGACAGGGCGGGGAACGAGAATGTGACAACCTGATCAGGAAGAGAAATACTTTACCTGCGTGACAGTCCACTCACACCAAGGCTGGAAACGGCCGTATAGCAACCCCCTTCTCCTACCGGTGTTTCAGCTCCGGGTCCTTCACTCGAAAATGGCGCCTAAAATACAAACTCGAACGGAAATTCGTTACAAATGCGCGCAATGGTTTCTGGGACCCACTAATTTGAAAAAAAGTGCGGCGATAACCACCGCCATCTTCTGGTCGATCGCGCGCATGCGCGACCTCCTGGCGGGCCCCTGGCGGTGCATAAGTTTCTACTAAGTGAAAAAGAGAGGGCTTATTTTCTCCGTGGTCTACGGAAGCAGCACTGTTATTAAAAATATCTGAAAAGTAACGTGGCAGGTTCAGGAGGGGAGGAAAAACATTGCGGAGGACTCTGCCCACAGCGGGAGGCCGGACGCACCCATCCAATAACGTCCCCTAAGACGAGGGCGCGCTCGCTGAGGGGCGGGGTCTTGGGCCCGCTTGGATGACGCGCGGCGGGAAGTATCGCGGGAAGAGGGAAGAGCGAGGGAGCGCAGCGCTTAGAAGTCACTATGGTGACGGGGAGGTCAGGAGGCTTCTTGGTTACAGGTCCCAGCTCTGTGATAGCCATCGCCATCGCTTTCCTGGAACTTGAGGTAAATCTGTTCACCTCCGGACATGGTGGGGCGAGGTTTTGGAAGTTGTGGCTCTCACAAGAATCACCTTCCCTGCTTCATGGAGCATTTGTCATTTTCCGTCTCCATGGGGGCAGTGGGGCTCTGGGTGAAGATTTTGAGATGCCAAAGAGAGCCCCGAGTTTGAAAACAGTAGAGGGACCACGAGTAGAGACGACCTGGATTCGCGAGTAATTGTGTAGTGTACACAGTGAATAAGAAAATGATGATTTTTGGATTATTGGCGTTAGTTCATTAGTGTCAGTAGTGGAAGGGTCCTAGATTTTTAAAAATCATTTTGTTAAAAAGTGTCGATAGAAACCATTTACCAAGTGTCACCTGGTTATCTTTATGAGAACATTATTGAATAGCAAATATTTATTACAGCTTTTGTATATTGCACTGTGGAAGGTATAATCAGAATTATAGAGCCAGTAAGACAGTTTCTGTTCCCAGATAAATTACTGTAGTTACTGGATTTTAAGACAGGAGTCTGGCTCTCATAGTGAGTGACGGGGCTTAGAATTAACTTCTCGGGACCAGCAGTTGGCGTAATTTATGTTGCTGGACATCCATGTAGTCGACCATGGTTTGAATCCCGGACCGGGTGGCTTAAACTCACATCGGGCGCATGTGCCTGCGTGCCCAAGGTCCCGAGAGGAGAATGGAGGAGAAGGGATTGCAGCGTGGCCATCCCCCCTGAGGGATGATTTCTCGCTTTCAGTCTCTCTGTCTCTTTCTGGTGAGCAGTGCTCTATAGCAAAAGAACTCTCAAAAACAAAACAAAACAAAACAAAAAACCCAAAACAAACAACTTCTTAGAAATTATGTGCAAAGTTCTTGAGTTTATATTTTTTTCTAGGGGATTGTTTTTTTCCAAAATTTCATCAGGCTTTCAGACTTGCTCCTAATCCTCCACCATGTTAAAGCACTACTGATTGATTTGACTACCACCAATGCAAGAGGTCTTTAAAAAGTGCATGGCAGATGCATATGCTGTAAAAACTATGTATGGATTTCCAAATGTATTGCACTAGAAAAAAACTTGTATGTAATTACGTTTTCCCATGAGCTTATTGAAGCTTCCTAATTAGGTACTTGACATGGAGAACCGCTAGCCTCTTTTTTTATCCCTCTTTAATTTTTGCATACTTATGGAGTGACATATTAAAGCACCAGTATATCTGCAATGAGAGAATAGGAAGAAGGATACGACACAGATAAATCCTAGTTTTACTGTGATACCAAGAGTGGTACAACTGCTGACAAAGAAATGTAGTTTCAGTAAACCGACTGATGGTTCAATTAATTGAACCTAATCATGCCCCACTCAGAACAAATATTTTCAAAAGAAGTTTGAAACAGATTGCATAATGAAGAAAAGGCATTCATAACAAACAGCTACTTAAGAGTTGACTTAAATCTGGAGATTTACATATGCCATGGAAATAAAACAGTCAGAGTAAGTGTAATTTTTGAGAAGATGTTATGGTCACAAAAAATGCTGTTTTTGAGAGATACTTTTGTTGTAGGGCATGTGTGCTTGCCAGAGATACAGAAAGAGAGAAAAGAGAGAAATCACCCCCTGGGAGGATGGCCACACTGCAATGCCTTGTTCTCCACTCTCCTCTCGGTATTTTGAGCATGCATGCACATGCGCCCGGCATGAGTTTCAAGCCACTGGGTCCAACACTTGAACTGCGATGGGCCATTTGAGAGTCCAGTAATGTAACCATTATGCCATCTGCTGGTCCCAACAAATAAAGACTTTAAGTTGATTATCGCCTGTATTTTGGGTACTTCTCATGAAGTCAACATTCTTATTAAGAGAAGCTGATTTGGGGCCTGGCAGGTGGCGTGGTGGTTAGGGTGCTGGACTTTCACTTCCATCTGTGGTTTGGACTGTGGCTTGCTTTCTCACTTTCCCTCCCTCTCTCTCTCTCTCTCTCTCTCTCTGGTCAAATTTAAATAAATTAAGTTAAATAAAATAATTTTTAAAAAAAGAGAGAGAAGCTGATTGACCTAGAAAGGACTGAGTTACAATCACTTAGGAAATTATAACCATTCATCTCATTTTTAAAAATATTAGGTTGTTGGGAAAGTCATGCTGTTACTTTTTTATGTAAAAAATACACCATGACTTTCCCTATGACCCCGTAGTTACACAGCATTCTAGTATATTGGTTGGGTATAATTCTTTTACATAGGTTGAATGAAAAGCATGAATTAAAGGTGACTACATATTTTTAAATTTGTGACTCACATGGTTTATGGCTTAGAATTTATGAGGCTAGTCTGCAAAAAAGAACTATTAACGTAGACAATGAGAGTAGCATGGTATTAATCATAGTTAGAATTGCAAGGTAATGTAAGTATTATAGCTTATATATGTACTTCAGCATATAGGAATTAGGGTGGGGTGGGGGAATAGAGATCTTTTACTAATTGAACTATTGATATTCTGACATTCACAAGCTGTTTTCTTTGGTTGCTATGTCTTTGAGACTGCCTGGAAATGATGATCCTGCCTCTCTCTCTCTTCCCTGCCATAGTGGAGATCTCAGCTGTAGTCTGCAAGTGGTTTTGTGACAGAAAGATGTGCCTTTCTTGAGCTATCAATTTAGGGGACCAACGATAAGAGATGCGTTTTTAAAAATATAGGGACTTGGGTAGTCATGAGCAAGCCAGTTCCCTCTAGGACTATCAACACTGTAGGGTTAGCCAATATGCAAATGACCCAAGGAAACCTTGGTACGAATATGGTTATGACCTAGCTTTTCAGTTTCTTATCTATCCTTCACATTCTTGTTCACTACATAAGATTTTTCTGCCACTTCTTATCTGTAGGTACATTCTTGTTGACAAGTCATGCCTTCTTTGTTTCCTGTCTAAAGTTTTTCTTGTTATTTCTTAAATATTAAAAATATTTACTAAAATATTTGGTTTATTTCTTAAATATTAAAAAAAACTGCATAACCATTTTTATGCGCAGTTCAGTGTCATGAAGTGCATTCACTTTGTTGTGCTGCTGTTGCCTCCATCCATTCATCCACAGAACTCTTAGTCCTGTAGAACTGAAACTCCCTACCCATTGCACAAAAGCACCACTCCCACCCCACCCCTGGCAGCCAGTCTTCTGCTTTGAGTCTTTCTGAATTTGACTGCTCTAGGTACTTTTATGTAAGTGGAATCATATGTAATTGTCCTTTTGTGACTGGCTTATTCCAGTAAACATAATGCTTAGGTCTAATTTTTTGCCTTAATTCCCTAATCTATTTTCTTGGCTATCTGTTCCACATTATAAACACATAGCCACATAGGGATGTATGACTTTTTCTTAGGGGGGCATATAATCTAGGATGGACATATAAATGTTTTTGAGAGTACTATATTGAGTTCTCTAGTGAACGGATTTGTATATATATTTTGGTGTACATTCATATGTATCTGGTAAATCCTATGACTAGGAATTCTTCCCAGAATAGATTCCTTATATAATAACTTGCCATGCATCAGTAACTTCTAATTTCAAATATGACACAGATGTCAAATTGGCAAGTGTCAAGTTATTTGTCTGTGTCCCTGCTGTAAAGAAGGCTAGAAAGGATATCATTTGTTTTTTTACAGTGTGAAGGACTCATAGGTAGAGAATACCTTTAATATAGGAAAGACAGTACCAATTTGCTTTCTTTCAGTAGTGTTTGGGAATATGTTTCTCTGTGTGCCAGCTTTGGGCTTTCAGTATTTTGCATTTGGCTAGTCTGCTAACTGAAAAATGGTATCTAGTTGTTTTGATTTTCATTTCTTTAGTTATATGCGAGGCTAGGTATTGTTTCATTCTAAAAAAGTTTATTTTTGTTTATCTTTCTGTGAATGAGACAGACTGAGAGAGAGCGAAAGCACCCCCTATGGGGCCTGGTCACACTGCAGTCCTTTTCTTCCAGTTCTCCATCCCTCCAGGATCCTGGGCACCTGGGAATGTGCCCACAGCCTACATACCAGGGCTGGCACTCAAATGTCAGCCATGTGGGATGGCTTCCTTTGCATAGCTCTTTAGTGTTGTGCTATGGCACTGCCCTCCTCCCCAACAGGGCTTTTTATATTTTTAAAGATTTATTCAGTTTTATTTATCATCATCTTCATTACTATTTTTTAATTTGATTGAACAGAGAGAGTGAGAAAGAGAGAGAGAGAGGGAAAGCAAGCCACTAGGTCTGGGATGGGACTCAAATAGTGGTGGTTCATGTGGGAGTCCAGTGCCTTGACCACCATGCCACCTGCCAGCCCCGCCCAACAGAGTTTTGACAATACAACCCATTCAGCTTCAGCCAGCCGCTGACCATGGCATGTGTGTGCCCAGCATGTCCAGAGAGGTCTTGATGCAAACCTGGAACCTTCTTATGTGGGTCAGCCTTGCAGAGCATCTGATTTTGAGCCTGACCAACCTCTGGCTCCCAGTTTCACATGGTCATGTGTTTTTATGTTTCTGTGAACCGTTCGTTGATCTGTACATCTTTTAAAATGGGAATACTACATAATCAGTGCCCTTGACCAAATGATATTAAGAGAGATCATACTCTCTCGTATTTATCCTCTCTTTCTATGGTACTGCCAAACTATCCTTATTGACTGCCTTTGTCCTTGCCCCCAAACGTAGTGAATGCTACCCTAAATTAGTAGCTGCTATTCTATTTCTTCCCTTTACCCTCTAAACTTACATACCTTTCTATACATATATACATATATATACAGGGTCCGTATCCCTTATCCAAACATCTTGGGACCAGAAGTGTTTTGAATTTTGGAATATCTTCATATACACAATAAGATATCTTGGAGATGGGACTCAAAGCTGAATATGAAATTCATTTATGTTTTATATTTACCACAGAGACACATGCTCTGAAGATAATTTTGTATAATGTTTTTGTATTATGGTGTTTTTACTGTGACTTATCATATGAGATTAGGTGTGAGATGCT